AGAAAAAAAGTAATTTCAATTTAAATTTCATTGCTGTCAGTCAATTTCAGATCCTGGTTCTCACCAGGTGGTTCTTTTGGGATATTCTTGTAGATCTATTTCAGGATAACCACTTAGTGTTCCTGAAAATATAATATCAATTGTGGCTTAAAGGTTTACCACAAAGACAGAACCTTAGATAATACAGGTTAAGAATGGTCAATACTGTTCATGTTAAATGATCACCTTCATTAAATCCCACAAGCACTTTGTTCAAGTTTACTTATTGCATTTACAGAACAATCCTTGGCAAGTCACCCATCAAATGGCCAGGGACACAAAGGAGATCTACAAACATGGTGAGGGAGAGCAGGGACATGTCTGCAGCCATGTATATGTCATATATAATCCCTTACAGATGAGACCAGGGACAGAAGTAAACAGCTTCTGTATTGATCTTCAGATCAGATGTTTAATGCTCCATGTGGATGTCAGTGATTGTGTCATGTTTGAAAAGGTACTCAAACTGAACACTCTGAGCATGATACGTGATCCTAAACATGTGAGCACAATTTAAAATTGATTTATGCATGGTGTGATATGGAGTCAATACTTAAAGCAATTTAAATGTCTAACCACAGAAACTTGCTGCTTAGACCATTATGAATTTCCACGGCGGAATATTTTGTCTAGTTAAAGGGGTCTTATGACATTGCTAAAAAGAACATTCTTTTGTGTATTTGGTACAGTGCAATGTGTTAATGCGGTTTAAGGTTAAAAAAATGTACATAATGTAAAAAATGTACATTATTGTTGCTCCTCTATGCCAGGCCTTTCTGAAACGCGTAGATTTTTACAAAGCTCATCGTTCTGAAAAGCGAGGTGTGCTCTGATTGGTCAGCTATCCAGTGTGTTGTGATTGGCCGAATACCTCAAGCGTATGGCAGAAATGTTATGCCCCTTACCACATGATGCCGTGTCCCGGCGTGGTAAGACGAAAACAATAAAACCCATTATAAACAAGGCATTTGTTGCATCCAGTGGGGATATAATTACTGATTATAATGACTTATACTGTCTTTTTACGCATTGCGTACCGCGCTGCGTAAACATAAAACCATTTCTGCATTTGTGATCGGAGAAACGACAAACAACAAGCGCTACTCTACACTGCTCAAAACTCGCGTTTGAATCGTCAGTGGCAAATTCTTTAAATGTGAAAACGTACTTACAGGCTGTGAGTCAGAAGTGCCAGACTGTCCTTGCGAAGTTGGAATTGCCCCACTTTATAGAAACAGACACCAGCATTGTAGGCTACTCTCCCAGGAAACAGTCCTCGTCCTCCGTAAAATTCGCTGCACACATCTGAATATTTGGGTTGAACTGTTCCGGAACAGTGTTGTAAATACAACTTAACCACTGATTTCTAGTTTTGTCCTCTTTTGGAAGGCCAAACAAAGTAATTTCACTTTCACAACGAAACACACAGCGTCTCCACAACATGGCGGCGGCGGCGGCAACAGTGAGAATAAAAGTTACGCCTTCTTTCTTTGCGTGAACATTTGGGCGGCATTATGCAAATCTTCCCACATCGTGACGTAGATATGTGGGGGGCATGTTAGAATGAGCCGTTTTAGGTAGGCGTGATTGACTCTTAACTTTTATAAAGAATATCTCTTTGGATTTGAGATTTTGGATTTTGCAACTTTACATATCTTCTTGTTGCACCAAGAGCTTGTAACACTCCAAAGAGAAAGGAAAAACTGAAATCGCATCATACGACCCCTTTAAATGGTCTTTCTAATGAAGCTTGTTGACCAAATGAGGCTTGAGGGTTAAGTTAGTTATGAGGTCCGATGAGGACACCAGCATGCCAGCATTCAGACCACTCTTCAAGAGGGCGGTTAAAAATAACTGAACACATGCTGATTTTTGTTGTTAGTAGTCAAAAACAGGCACATTCTGTGCTCTACAGAAATGAAGTGTGTGTTTAACTGCATGGTCTTTTTAGTCCATCTTCAGATTGTCAGAGGGCACTGCTGAGAAGTCTTTTCTGTATTTATACAGTGATGGGGCCTGCAAAATCAATGTGATCCATTACCACCACAGGTGTATCCTGAGCTCAAGTACATTTCACTCTGTTCATCTATAATTTTTTGACAGAGCGAGTGAAAGAGACAGAGAACGAGCAAGAATAACACTAAATAGGATAGAGTTGCAGGTCCCAGTGGCTAACTAGTCATCCAACAATCGACTTGATGTACACGCGTCCTAAGAAATATACTATATATAATCGGGGTCAGTTTGACAGGCTAATTATACTAGACTAGTATTCAGCTAGTTGTTCACATAACAACTTTGCCTAACTAGTTGCCTAAACTAACAACTAATGTAGTTTTGTTCATCCCTACTACACACAAGGCGAGAAAGTAAGCGAAAGTAAGAAAAGAGGTCAAAATAGACCGATCAAATGAAACGTGTGGAAAACGCTGGAGAAGAAGGAAATGAAAAGGCTTTTGAAATGCTAAGTGACTTGTCTCTTCATCTGCCCTGCATTCTTCCCTTCTGCTCATTTGGCAGTGCGCGATCGGCAGCACAGCTCTGTCTGTTTGGTGCCATGTTCATCATATCAGCTCACAGCACGTGTTCCTTCATGATGCATATGATTCATGCGCTGCTCTGATAGCACATCATCACTCACTACTGTTTTTCACACGTTTCAGGTGACTATAGAGGATAAGATGCACTATTTTCACCTATTTGTCAACAAAACGTGGGCAGTTGACACGACATGGCAAGCAGTGACGGCAGTGTCCTGCAGTGTGACATGCCATACTAAAAGTATTTTAAAAAGCATATTTCTAATTAATTTATAATCATAAAACAGCTCCAGTGTTCTACTTTGCATAAATAATGAGTACTGGGACATTTCACGTTTTACTTTGTTCACAGGGGTTAAATTGAAAGAGCTCCAAAATCTGGCAGTGGTTCAGGGTCTCTAGGCAAGATATGACAATCCGTCAAGTTAAGTAAGGGACTTCAGTCATTATCATTACATAAATCGCTTCAGGTTCGTCCAAGACCCTCCTGGTTCACATCAGAGGTCAGATCACTTGTCTTATTTTGGGATAAAGATCAGGTGACTGATATTACGCCTTACATAACTTCGTATACAGAACTATTTTATAAAAGATTTTGTCTTAAAGAAATGAAGTGAAAATTAAGCAGTTTCAGCATCTAATAATATATACTTGATACTATATTTACTGTACACTATTTATTTTTACAAAAATAATTAAATTTAAATTAATAATTTAATTGAACATCATTTTTAATTGCATCACAAAAACAATTAAAATCCTGAAAAAAAATGCATCATGGTACCCACATAAATATTAAGCAGCACATTTTTTAAATCGATAAAAATAAATCTTTCTTGAGCACCAAATCAGCAAATTACAGAAAAATATAATATGTAATATATATTACATATTACATACTTTTGAACGGTAGTGTATATTGTAACACAAGTTACAAACAAATGCGGTTCTTTTACATTTTTTATTCATAAAAGAATCCTAAAAAAAAGTATCACAGGTTTTAAAAAATATTAAGCAGCACAACTATGTCCAACAATGATAATATATAAGCATATCAGAATGATTTCTGAAAAGGATCACGTGACACTGAAGACTGGAGTAATGGCTTATGAAAATTCAGCTTTGCTTTACAGGAATAAATTATATTTTAAAGTATATTAAAATAAAAACTGTTATTTTAAATTGCAATATTTCACAAAAAAAGGCCAAGTACTAATAAAATGTCTGTGTACGAAAGATGTTAGACAAACTAGAGTGTGATTCTCTTTTTTTACCATAGATTTGTGTTTGTGTGCAAATGCTTGAAGGAGTAAGTGAGTTCCTTACCATAGTGGCAGTGAAGGGAATGTTGTCTATAAGAGAGGAGGCCAGTGCTGAGACCCACATGACCAAAATGATGGCGATGGCCAACCGCTCGTCCTCTGGCACTGCCTGGGAGAGAAGATAACAATAAAATGTCACAACCAAACACACACACACAAACCCTCTCTCTCTGTCAGTCTCAGATGCCAACACAAAGGTGGGAGGGCTTTGCAGACAATGTGTTCATGATATAGTCACATTGGATTCATTATTTCACGCTCTGTTGCTTTCATAAACCGAAACACAACACATGTACACAAACAGATGTAAACACACACTCTCACCATACGCCTGTTTTCAATCCAGCTATAATGTATGTGAAAACGCACCGTAGCCTTTTTATTAGCATGTAGGAATGCTGTTTATTAGAAAATTGTTTTATTTCAGTCGTTTCCCCACTATTTCTCTTTTTGGTTGTTCATCTACATGGTCAGATTTTGGGGGTCCTGGTGCTGCTGATTGGATTGAATGCATCAGAGCTCCACAGCAGCACCTGTCATGAATAATTACCGTGATTGTAAAAGGCTTGCACACCAAACACAAGCTGACGGGTCTATCAGAGAGTGATCGCCAGCCAGGCAGAGCTGGACACTTCCAGGTCTGTGGAAATCTCTGTATTTATTGCCCACATAGACCTACTATTGGATCAAAGATAATAATAATTTCAGCCAGCCACACTATTTAATGAAGTTCATTTGGCAGGTTTACATAGTTTTTTTAAGTGTGGAAATGCATGCTCTTAGAATTATGGTCCATGTGTGAAAAAAGATATGGAGTAAAACAGAGCCCGTCCACTTTTTTACAGCCTTGGTTTTTTCCATAGAGATTTTTTAAGTCTTTGTTCAAATTTATAAACCATGAACCAAATCAACCAGCAACGAGGTTAATCACATTACAAACTTTAATTTGAAGCAAAAATGTATTTGAAAATTGACAAGTGTACTTAACAGTTTTACCCACAGATCCATGAAGAACTGTGAAAGCCATAAACAAAACGACATATTTTATGCTCATTTCAAAATATGCATATATAGACAAATACAGTACTAAAAATAAAGGTTCTTTTTTGGCATTGATGTTCCCATGGAACCTTTCTGTTGCACCAAGGGTTCTTTATAGTGAAAAAAAGGTTCTTCTGATTATTAAAATATTCTTAACAAAAAAAAGGGTTGTTTTAAGAACTGTTCACAAAGTGGTTCTTCTATTGCATCCAAACCCCCTTTATTTTTAACAGTGTACTTCATTTGCGATGCTTCATGGGAAGTGGGCAGGCAAATCAGGAAATTAGTAAATAATTCCTTTTTCACAATTTGCTTATTGTGATTCTCTGATTGGTGGAGGTTTCATTGCTGAATCATTGGGTAATTTAGTTTCTCATCTGCTGTTAAAATGATTATTTAAAAAATATGTTGAAATAATGCAGGCAGATGGACATGTACTATCAATTAACAACCTTGTACTGTAGCTCACACTGTAAGTTAAAAATCAATCCTAAAATTAATGGGATTTTTCAGAAGCCAATTGTTGGCACTTCATAGTAGACTAAGCTGTAGCATAGAACTCGGACAACAGTGAATCTCAATCTAAATACAAAGGGAACTGCAACTTTATATCTAAAATGTGATTTTATCTCTCAGAAATGAACTTCATATCTCACAATGACCTAATATTTTGCAAATGCAGCTTTGTTTCCTATAATTGCAACTTTATATTTTGCAGTTTAAATGTCATATGTTACAATGTGACTTACAATGACTATCTTCTTATTTTTATAATCTGCTTTTACTCAGAAACAGAAAAAAACAGATCTTCCCCTCAAAATCCGATCACAAGTGGTCACAGGAGACACATCTGAAAAATGTTACATCAAGGTGTAAACAGCATGTGTCGCCTTCCCACTTGTGATCGTATCACCCAAGATTTAACACCACTTTTTGGGATAGATTTTGTGCTGATTGCATAACACCTTTAGTGAGTCGAGCAGCAAAGCAACACAGCCCATGCAAATATAAATTCTTAGTGAATTCCCCCCAAAGACTGTATCAAATACTTCTGGAGCAAATACTCACTTTTATCAACACTGCTGTCTGCTCCCCGATGTAGTCGATGAGCTGCAGCTGTGCTAGGGCCTTAAAAACACACCAAAGAGAAAATCAAGTCATAGACCAGAAACCAAAACAATAGACATTTAACCTGACAGCTCTGATTTTCCATCTTTTAAACAACGGAAGTGGAATATCAGTATTCATCTATTTTTGTCTCGCCGCTTGCGGTGCACACTGGTAGGAGTGATTTGTGAATGTTGGCTCTGCTATAGAGGGCAAACAGTTTATCTTGGAGCAGCGTTATGCTCCCCACTGGGCCCAAGGGGTGGGCTTCCCTGTGTGAATACTGCCCTCCTAACAAAACAAAGGATTAAACCAACACAAACAGCAAACCTAGCATTTCTGCTGCTGACATGCTCACTTTCTTCTTAGACTCCCAATCTCTAAGTCACCCTCTTTCTCCTTTATTTATGAATGTGATGGATAAAAATAAACATAACAATGCACTATTATATACACTATTAATATTTTATCTTTCATGACAATGCACTTATATTAAAATATTTTGTTCTCTATAACAATGCACTTTTTCCCTGGGGTTTGTAAATAAAAAAAAGACACATTAAATTCAGGGAGGGAAAATAAAAAAAATAAAAGAATAATAATAAAATGTATTAAGCATATACATAATAATACACTATTATATATCTTTCATGACAATGCATTTTAAATATTTTGTCTTCTATAACAATGCATTTTTTCCTTTTTCACACTTAAAAAAAGAGTGTGTAAATATAAAAACAGACACAAACACATATGTGTGTGTGTGTGTGTGTGTGTGTGTGAAATAGATTTAATAAAAGAAGTAGAACACATTTTCTTACAATAATTGTGCAAATTAATTTAGAGTTAATACAAGTCTAATATAATATAAATCTTTTTTAATCATATTTTAGGGGAATTACATTTTCTTTTTCTTTTTTTATTATTGCATTAAAAAAAATAAAGGGGGCGCATTTGAGGCATTACAGGCTCCAAACCAGCATCCAAAACACGACATGGGCCAGTGGCCAGCTAAACTGATCTTGGTAAACAATGACTAGCCATCACTGTGATGTAACAGATGACAGAACATTGGGATATGTGGGCGTTTGTTGAACATTAGCATACCTCCATAAGCACAAACAGAGCAGCGAAGAACAACAGGGTGGCCCATTCCACTCTGTGAAGTATGATCTCGAAGTCCTGAATGTCAGCCAGCACCAATAACCACAGAGCCCCCAGAATAGCAATCCAACCTGAGGGACAAAACAGTACATCAATGGAGATCACTGGAAAACAACCAAGAACACTGTTCACACAAACATTTGATTTCCTGTTGTTGCACATAAAGGTTTTAAGATAATGGAATCCTGGAAAACAGCCGACCGGTGGTTAATGCAATGCATCAATCATATGTTATGTCTCTATCTATCTTGCCTTCTCACGACCACAAACACTTTCTCATCAGCCGACCACAGCGGTCCTAAATCTGGCATTCCACTCACACAAAAAAACCTTCAGCGGGAGAGAGAACAAACAGCAGCATTCAATTAGAAACACAGTCCAGCCACCTTACAAACAGGCTCATAATCGCTCTGCACATCGATACACTGACACCACAGGTAGTCTGCATCACCACAATGGACTACAGACTGTCAGGGCACAAGAATAATAAGCCAGTTACTGGATAATCTTCATTAAAGTCTTCTGTGATGTGCCCGACACTGATCTAACTAAGAACCTCAGTCTAAATAAATGATGGGAATCACAACTACAGTAGATATAACAACATAAAAGCTGAATTTTCAGCAGCCATTACTCCAGTCTTCAGTGTCTCATGATCCTTCAGAAATAATTCTAATATGCAGATTTACTGCTCAAGAAACATTTCTAATTATTATAAATGTTTGAAAATAATTGTGCTGCTTAATATTTTTGTGGAAAAAGGGTAATAAATTTTTTTCAGGATTATTTGATGAATAGAAAATTCAAAAGAACAGCATTTATTTGAGATAGAAATTTTAATTAAAGTCTTTAAAGTAATTTTTTTGTTCAATGAATGCAGGCTTGCTAAGTAAATGATGCCTGAATCTTCAATTTTATGTGAACATTCCCTGTGCTCTGTTCAATAAATATTAGCAAAATAAAAGTCAATATGTACCACAGTTTATTTTAATCCACTCGTGATATCAATCTGAAATATCTCTGAAAAATGGAGGTGAAATATAAAAGGACATTAGCTGGTGTGAACATTGTGCATGCTGTCAAGTAATATTGCCAGACATTTTACTGCTGATTAGGTGATGTTCTGTCTCCCAGAAGCCTCTGGGATTAAAAACATACACAGCGTGTCAGGAACAAAATGTACGAGTCACTAAAGTGAGACGGATAATACAGCAGGAAGCGGACCGGCGTTATACTGCTCCATAACATGCGGTGGTAGAAGTCCATCATAATGAGTGTGCCATTTAGACATCAAGACCGTGCACAACTAATGCGTCACATCTCAGTTTTTGACCTTTACTATAATAGCCACAGAAAAACAGGCTTTATTCTGGACCTGCGTATTACATGCAACTGAGGTTGACTATTTAAAAAAAACATAAATGAACGCCTGCAAATGTCACAACAAACGAACAGAAGCCATTAGCCCACTTAATGTATGCATACACGCTGGGAGAAACAGTTACAAGCAGTAAAATCAGAGTTAGAAATGTACATAAGTGCAGATAGTGGATTATCTTCTCTAAATTGTGTTTTACTGGAGCACCATTAAGGGGACATTCATCGTAGCATCCAGATAAAATTTTTCCTGAAATAATATTTCCTAGTATTGTGCTTGTCATAATTTAACAAAACAAAACAGTGAAAGGGAAAAATTCATTTCTTGTTATTTTGCATTTATTTGATTTTGCAATATTAATCTTTCTTTTGATTATTAATCCTCAGTGTACTCCAAAAACAAATATGAGAGGGAAAGGGAGAGTGGATGATGTTCGGTTGGCGTAGATGGGTCTTGAGTTAAAAGCAGGAACACATAGTGAGGACTTAGGGAGTTCAGTCTTTGAAGCAGCATGTGTTGAGCAGATGGTCACGAACTGTACACCCCACACTATCAAAGCTTTGGGGTCAAAATTATATTTATTTCATATAATAACACAGTGCTTTCCTCTAGAGTGCACAATCAGGAACCGGGGCCAGATTCACAAAACATTCATTCGTGAACAAAAAAGTTTTCTTAACTGACATTTTCTTCTTATTTTTTACATTTGGACAGAACACATGAACACACGCATTCACACAAGTTGCAGAAAGAGAGAAAGTGAGGAAAGAATGAGTTTGAGAGAGTGAAAATGTGAACTCCCAAATTTATAGCAATGTGCGCAATTGCTTAGACCTGAACAACCATCAATCATTTAATTAACCCTCGCATTGAGTTCCTCAATGAGGCTAAAATTTATATTATTAATGCACCAGTTCAGCTAGAATCTAGAGGTACTTGCGTTGCTTGTTTAGGGGGGTCCCCTTGTTGTCCTCATTGCAGAAAGGGTTTACCCAAGTTTGTTGATTGGCTGGAAGTCCAGTTGTCGTTCGAAGTGACGTCTTGGGAAGCCAATTGTTGGGTGTTGGCTGAAGATGCGGAGTTGTGGGCTGGTTGAAGTTTTGAGGCGGCCACAGACTCGTGAACTCGGAGACACTGCATTGCAGCAAAACTGAACTCAGAACACGAAACTCTCAACGGAAAAGAAAAGAAATTAAAGTAAAAGAAAGAAAAGAGTAAAGTTTGACAAGACTAGATGGCGTTTCTCAGATTTCACGGGCAAAAAGCAGTGGCAAAAAGCATAGCTAAAAGCCAAAGGAACGGCAAAAAGCGTTTGATGGTGTTTGAAAATTTGATGGTGTCTTGAGTTTATAAACTGGGCTGTTAGACACATCCTAAATGGTGTCTTGACCAATTAGACATTGTCTTAGCTCGGGGCGTTGCTATGTTTCTCCTCCCAATACATAAATCAACATGTTATCTTATCAGTCACATGGTCCAAATTTTCCCGCTCTTGCGGAGTATAATTTGGACATGATTTCTATAACAAGAATATAATACATTTTACAAAGTATTGATTGATAGAAACATTTAAAGCATGACTTTTCAAACTCATACATACCCAACATGAATATAATCCTATAAACTATTCCATAGTTATTCAAAATACATACAAAATGAGTGATTAGAACATGATAGTCAAATGTGTGGGTTACAGATATGGAGTTAAGCAATGTACTGATATTCATTTATAAGTCCTTTTGAGATAATTTTGGTGCATCTACATCTGTAAAAGACTGTCTGTCTATCTGTCTGTCGTTCTGTGAATGTGAGGATGTGCTTTGTGAGGAACAAAAGTTCAAAAGGTCTAGAAGGAGCCTGGTCTTTGTCCTGGGTGGGGGAAACCAATCTGAGGAAGTCTTTAGCTCATGATTTCTATCATGGATTTACATGTGATGGTCATGCTGTGCATTTCTTTGACCATTAATCTTGGTTACTTGCCCCAACTTTGACAAACTCCTTCCTGAGTTGGAATTGTCAATAAGTGTTCTTTTGTTTCAAAGCTGCTAGTTGGTGGCGCCAGGGTATCGTGGACAGATTTATGACGTTGTCTGGTTATCCTGGGCCTCTTTGTGGAATTTGGCTCTTTGGGTGGTTCCAAACATGTTCTGATCAAATCTTAAATTGTCTGATTCGCTCTGATACCCTACACTACATATAATACTAATAGGACTATTAATAGGGATGTGCACAAGTTTTCTGAAGCGACGCATTTACTGTAGCAAAAGTTAGCAAAAAGTATGTGCCAACATGAAAATACCAACAAAAAACTTCTAGGTATTTTTTTTAAAGATAAACAACTGTTTTGGATCGCCAGCTTGATGTAAAATCATTTGCCAAAAACCAGCGCTTGGGCCCAGAAAAGTGGGGTCTTCCATAAACATTTTGTCCCAGGGCTCTGTGAATTTAAGCCAGAAAGGACAATTGTGAGTGACAACTTTCCTCCAAAAATTAAGGAAGAGTTGGGAAGAGACTCCTCTTGTTTTTTATTCATTTCATTATTAGCCTGCATAAACTTTACAATCATGAAAGGCTCAACCTTCTCACTATTATTTTGACAGCAGAAATAATCACAAATGTCAAAAATCCAACCCACTCAAAGCAGGATAACAAATTACTGAGCAATTATCTGAAGACCCCATTTCCACCAGACTATTTCCTGTTAGCTATCAGGGGCTTTGGACTTTAGCCAGCGATGCCAGTGAGTGAAGTGCCTTCATTAAAATAAGCTGGACAATGGTCAAACAGCTACTATTCAAGCTTCCCAAATTTAACACAAAACACAACATATGCATGCACACATACTTTTGGGATTATAACCAACGCTGGTCAGTAAATGCTGCAACAAACGGATACACTAAGAATCATAGCAGAGGGGGCGACAGTATGCTTCCAATTCTAGCAAAATTTGATTAAACAGGTGAGTGCTGAAGATTGCCCTTGGGAAATCATTTAATAAGGAATGAGAAGGATGAACAGAAGAAGAGCCAAAGACAGGAAGAGAAAGAACAGAAGTAGACAGAGAAAGAATCAGTTGCAGTCACACAGAGGACACAGATGTACTGTAATTGTGGAAGAGAATATATTAATGTAATGTTTAAACAAGGTAAAGATCTTAAAGGAAATAGTGTTCAGAATAGCTGAATGATGGAAGACAAAATTATGTAACAAAATGAAGTCTATTAAATAAAAAAAAGTGGATTTTCACAAATCAGGATGGAGTTTTATGGAAATTTATTGACAGAAGTTGAAACTGAATAGTAAAAATTAGAGTGTGACTCACTAATATAAGTGATGTAGTTCAAATATCTGTTACGCCCCTCTTGTTTGGTTGATAGCCTAAAGATGAATATGTAAACATAATTACAAAAATTATAAAGTAATACCAAAATTAAGCTCCTGTTTTCCCTTCAGAGTCTTTGAATATCCTCAGATCTAATGAAAACCCAGGAGAAAGAAAATAATGAAGCTTTAATCTCTTTAAAACTGTGATTATAAAGTTTGTTTTGCTTCTCATAAGATTAGAAGTCAAGAAGTATCAGTCTGATACTTAAATTATAAGCATGTTTTTTTAGATATTAAAGGGGCTTTAGGGTGCAACAAAACATTACATGTATATATATTAGGGGTGTAACGATACACGTATTTGTATTG